ATTGATAATCCATCCTTTCCTATGGGCTGAAAGAATACAGAAAATCCCTGAGTGAGTCAAAGCACTTGGTACCTCAGAAGTCAGCTCCATCTCTGTACTGTTGCCAGCAGAATTATCTTTGAATCCTAAATTTCTTGCAGAAGGGAGATAGTTTACTCCAAATAAGCATCATGGAGAAGAAAAGGCATATTGGTGTTCCTTTCTCTCTGGTGCCTCATGCATAAGTGCCATGTATGTCCCCAGGACTGGGAAGTGGATTTACTGGCTACATTCTAACATGCTGGGAGAAACACTTTGTGAAATGTTAGTGTGGTATTTTACATCTCCCAAGAGTACAGGACCAAAGTTATGATTCCAGGGATTATCTCTGAACTGCATTTAAGCAGTGTTCATGAATAAATAACATCCAGGAGAAGGTAAACAAAGACATTCTTACACTCCATGGGTTCTTAAATCATTTGCTTCTTGTTCATATCTGCATAACACCCAGGAGTAAAAGTTCTGAAAGTAATTGTTCTGTGTGGCATAAGTGGAAATGAAATCAAAAGCCAAATTCCTGTACTTGTACAAGCAGCAGTATCAAAGATGACTTAGAAAGGCAATAAGGAGCTGCAGAGAAGATTGAAAAGGAAATGATTGCAGGGTCCAAGTCTTAGGTATTGCTGGCAATTCATTGCCTTGCAATGTGAATTTCTATATTCCTCCAGCAGCAACTGAGTCTCAGAACAGTATATGTTATTCCCAATCTTTCAAGAGCTGCTCTCAATGCTACATCTTAAACCAGACTACCCTTCTAGCTATTCTTCATGCAAAATAAAAACAGTATGGAAAAATAAATGTACTTGCTGGGTTTTTTAAGTGCAGCAGAATCTATTAGTTCCTTTTCACTTTTACTGTTCCAAATGTTTCATAGCAAAGGCAAACTTGCAAACTCCAATTCCAATGAACTTACATCGGTTTTGCTCTTTTATATACATTTTTTTCTCATTACATTCATTAATGAAAGAATGCTTCTTACTCAGAAAGGATTTAGGGAATGGATAAAGACCAGAAGGCACATAAATTAACTTTTTCTAGACATAGTTTTTCTTAGACATAGGCAGCAGTGCATCAGTATCAGCAGAACTGGTTGATGAAAACCAATGGACAAAAATACATACTTTGATTTTACATTTACAAATCGAGCCTCAAGACTTGCATGAAAGTTGCACAACTGGGAGACTCAGTACAACTCATTTAACAAAAGTATTGCCTAGAACAAAAGTACTGCCTAGAAAAAATCCTCTTTCCTCCAGTCATGCTGCCCACAATATACATAGAGGGAGATTGAACAGAACACCAGAAGAAAATGGTGCCACTGGGATAAAAGATTTTGACTGCAATTCACATTTTGGAAAGCTCCATGGTGAAATGGTGGCAGGAACAGAGCTACATTTTAAGCTAAGTAACTGAATTCAGTCATTTTCTTGCTTTAGAAATGTTTCCTAATGCACAAGAGAAAACCTTTCTAATGAATTCAATGCAACTCAGAACAGAAGGAAAAGCAACTGAAAAACACTAATATCTCAAAAAGCGAAACAGAAGAAACCTATTAAAAAGAGTTGGTTTTTTTTTTTTCAGTCACAGGTTTAAGTAATCAAAAAACAACTGAAGGTCTTTTATATTCTGCAGTTGGACCTGTAAAGTGTCACTGGGGTTTCTTAATGAAACACCACAGTGTACTGGGAAAAGACAATCAAGTTTTTGTGGTAAATTCATACTGGGCGTGTTTACTTTCTCTGTTGGTTTACAGGCACTTGTTCATCAGAATTTATTCCAAGTAATCTCAAGGTGCCCTGGGTTTAAAGACCTTGAAGTCACTTTCTGTTCATAGTTATTGATATAATCAAGAAATGAAACTCTATACTGGAAAGACCAATATTACAGACAAGAACTGCAGCTATAAAATGCAAGGTATGGCCTTGCAGTGTGTGCCTCTCTCTGAAAGGGAAAAGGACATTGGGAATAATCTCCCTCCTTCTCCTGATTCTTTTTTTTCCCCTCCATTTTTGTCAACACATAGTCATTCTTATATGATGAAATGAGAACAGACTAGATCTTTTTGATTCCTCTCACAATTTTTGCATTTGACTTCAAATTTAACCTTAATTGCCTTCTGTTTCCAACAATTTTACCCCACACAGACTTACAACATACCACTTATCTTCTCCTAGGAAATATGTCAATAAGTGCACTGTACTATATAAATACTTAAAATGACATGCAAACCTGAATGATTAAGAATGCAATGTGCTTCACTGTCATTCAAGCGACTCGTTACTTCACAAATTAAATCAAACACTAATGTCCATCTAAAATCATCTGTAGCTTGTTATCTAGTTTGACTATTTGCTTCAGAAATTTCTGCTTTCAGAAGGATGATGACTTAATATTTAATCATGGATTTCCAGAGAGAAACAGCAGCAAGAAAGCCTTATACGAATCTCACTCTTTTAAACTATGAGTATTTTGTTTTAAACCAAAGAGTAACCTTGCAGGGAAAGATGCAGTTCTCTGGGGGTGATTTGGCATTTTTCATTTCAAAACTTAAAACATTCAAAATTAGAACTGAATTGCCTGAAATTGTGACAAGAAAAATTTTGGATTTTCTTTGCAGGGTAAAAGTTAGTTTGGGATTTCTGGTCCCTTGAAGAAAATCTGAAATGTTGTATTTAATAGTAATTTAAACTGAAACTTCATTCCTTCAAAGTTAATTTGTGCAGCAGCTGAAATCTAAAAGCTGGTTTTCGTACAGCTTGTGAAGGTTTATTAGCTTTAGGAGACCTGTAAGTAGACTCTAGAAGCACTGCTTGCCTTGCCCTTCAATATCTCACAGAAAACTAGACAATGAGCATTTGGATGTCAGAAAAAAGACAACTTTCTTTTGGAAAAAAATTGACATAATTGAGTATGCCAAACAGGCAACATGGATGCATTCTGTGATTTCTAGCATCTCTGGGGCATGAGTGACACAGATTAAGCTCAACGAGATTAAGCTACATTTGTTGCTGGGATGCCCTACTGTTTTGGCTCTCAAGCACTGCACAGATGAACTGTAAACTGTAAATACAGATTGACCTATTTACACTCTGAAAATTTGGACACAAAATCCTTTCATTCAGTACCTATGATATTCCAGTGATGACTAATTCTAGGAACAATTTCACATGCACAGCTGGAACTGCAAGGCCTGCTAATTAAATATCAAGAAAAATAAAGAAGACTCTCAAGTGTTCTGAAATTACAGAAGTCCTGAAAGGTGCTGAAGTAACACTTATCATTCCTGACAGATCTATAAAAACACAAACAACAAGCAAAGGGCACCTGTAAATCAATGACAGGGAGTTTAAGTAACATGGTAAAACTACAGAATTAAGACTTCTATCTATACAATGTGTACAAGGCAGAGGTGTAAGTCCCCAGCAGAACAGTGGAAGTTATGTCAAAAGCAATGAAATATCAATGCCATTTAATGATAGACTGATTTGACAACACATTTTTATGCATCACTTCACATACATAGTTTAGTCCCGAAACTTCTGTCCACATAAAATCATAACTTTTTCCCCCCACCCCATAAATCACATATATAGTCCCATAAACTTCTATATATGCCTAGATGCAGATACACAGACATACCTGTGAAAGGTAAAAGTGATACCATGTTTTGGTGTGTTGCCTTCCTTCATAAAACTGATCTTCCTACTCACAGGCTGATGTATAGTTAACTGATGAAAAGTGCTTCAAAAGAACCAACTATTATAAATGTTTTATATTTAGCCAGATGCCTCTTTTTTGCCTTTAAATGATGATCTGTGCATATATATAACAATAAGCATTCTTATAAGCAAAATCTTGCACATTACAGTCCCATCCAGCAAGAAAGATTGTTAATTGGTGCCAGCCATTAAATGAAAAATTGCTTTATGCTTCCCATAGGAAGATGTAATGCGAGTTAAGGAGAATACCATAACATTTATATGCAAAATTATTTAATCATGTTAGTTGGAATTTTATAAAAGCATTAACCAAAGACACGTAAGTATGGCAAATTTCAGCTCTTTGTACTTTTCCCTTGGTAAAACTAGAAACAGTATGAAATGGAACTTTGTACAGAGGAAAATACAGGAACTGTTCATAGAGATCCCTGTTATTCTTCAGTATTCACAAGTACAAATGAACAAGAGACTTCCCAGCATGGATCTACCATGTCTAGTTCCATTTCAGCTACAAAAAGAAAACCTGTGGTGTAAACATGTGACACATTGTGCTGAAAATGGTAGCTGGACTAGTATTTGACATAGCTGAAAAGAGAAGTATAGGAGTGAAAATTTTACATGAGTTGCAAGTTTTCCTCATGTGTTTGGAGCACAAAGCAGAGCCCCTCTTCATCTGTGCTCACCAGAGCACAAATTTGTGCTCACTATGGCAGCTAACAGATGTTGCGATGCCCGCAGAAAACAACAAATAAGGATCACCAGGCAAGGGAATTGTTAGGCTCTGAAATTACACAGGATGCTGCAGTTGCTCATTTCCTACAACCTAGAGATATTCAAATCATATCTAAAAATTGGGGACAAGAAATAGACTTGCAGATCACAATAAAAATAGACAGCAAGGCCAATAAAGGCCAAAATGAGGTGTCTGAATAAAACATTCTGTAACCTTATGCCATGGTTAGATGTACAGAAAAGAAGTGATATTTTAGATAGCCAAATATATTACTTGCAAAAATCAATACAAATAACGTCAGGAAAGGTTTTCTTGCTATTTTTCTTCAGAAAAAGAGGATCTCCAGTCAAGAAGAAAATAATAGACTCAGATTAAAATGAAAAACTATATAAAAGCATATTCACCTTTCCTTTGACTAACTTTAAAAATTAATTACAAGAAAATTATTAATGGATGTCAAAATGCTAGCCTGAACTAAAAAGGCTTAATACCATTATTACTTCTTTCAGGTGGTAAAAATGATGATTGTGGTTGTGCTGACGTTTGCCATCTGCTGGCTGCCCTACCACATTTACTTCATAGTCACTGGGATCTACCAACAATTAAACCGGTGGAAATACATTCAGCAAATCTATTTAGCCAGCTTTTGGCTTGCCATGAGCTCTACAATGTACAATCCCATTATCTACTGCTGTCTTAATAAGAGGTAAGAGTTGGTTATGAAACGAGGTGCATAACTTCACCGAGAACATAAACTGCTTAAATGGAAAAAAGACACAGAATTTTCACTTAAATAGATTCCAGTTAGTGGGGAAAAAACAAAATGAAAAAAAAAAAAACAACCTTTCTTAAGGTTTGTACTTGAAAAGAAGCCCCACAAACCCAGAGGCAGACTTCCAGTAAATATTCTGGTCTACTTAAAATTTCAGAGCAAAATGCAGTTTTCAGAAACCAGTCCTTTCCATGTACACCTCCAAAATTTTTTTTTTAAAAACCTATAGCATTTTAATGGCTTTGGTTTGCAAAATATAAAAATAAAGAAGATGGTAATTAGTGATATAGAGTACAAGCTGTATGTTCACCAATTGTATACCCAATTTTGTTTTGCTGGAAGAATGCAATACAAAATGTGATTTACTGTGTTCTGTAGATCTCAGCATTAAACTTCTACTGCACTCCAAGATTTGCAATAGGCTGATAAATATTATACAAACATTTATATTCTCATTACTTAATACTAAATTACAGTAGTGTTTGATAGCAACACATTATGCTCTGAATTTCAAAGGCACTGCACCTATTGAGTTTGGTGACATTTTACAGACACTTGTTAGCCTGAGACTACTGCATTCCAGAATAGACTTAAATCTTTCATTTCAATTTATAGGACCAGGATCTACACAAACATCATCCTGGCCATCCTATTCACCAGTATTTCTTCTAGTGTTATTGGATAAAGAACACCAGGAACAATTAATTACTTCACAAAGTCAGTCAGTACAAATCAGTATTGATTAAGTAATCTTAAATATTATTTTAAATCTCTTTTGACTTAGCAGCCAGTGCAAAGTTTAATTACTGTCAAACTTTATAGCAATATTGCATGGTATTCCTAAACCCCAAATAAAGATCATGTAGTACTTGTCAAAAGGAATCTAATAAAAAATGAAGTGAACAAATCCTAACAAGTTTTTATTGGTGCAAAAACACCGGCATCATCCTTCTTGATGAGGATAACTTACGACAATTCCATTCATGATCTTTTAAAAAGACAAGGCAATGACTAAATTCATAGAACCTTCTGCCTTCTGATGAGCTTTTCATCATTTACAACTGTTTAAAGACAAGGTAAAGTTTTAGCATGCCAGAACAAAACTAACTCAAATGGCAAATTTTCCATTAATTTCAACAGAAATCAGATTTCACTAAGTGTCCAGTGTCTGCAAAATCAAAGACAAGGAAAAATCAGGCCTCATTTTTTTCAGTTACTACCATAAAACTTCTAAACCAACCCCATTTTCTTCAAAAACTTTTTATGGCACAATTACAAAAGTATTTATAAAAAAATAGTATCTCTGATGTGGCTTATGTTGACACTTGGAAACTGCAAAATTAAATGTCTGGATTAAAGAATACAGTCAAAGCAAAATTAATATTTTGAGACATACTAAAGGTCACCTTATTCAGAATTTGATGCAAGAATGAAGTCCTGGTGACCATGCTCTTATAATTAAGTTCCATATTGAAATGAAGATACCAGAATATCTGCTTCCTTTTCATTAAATAGGAAAATAGAGCTTGTTGCTGGGAGTCAGATCAATTCATGCCTCTGCTGGATCTAGTATCAGACAGAGTTAGAACATCTATCCCCAGCATCATCTTCCAGGCTAATTAGGATATTACGTATCTAGATAACGAGAGCATTATTTCAAGATGAAGAAAAAACATGCCCTGAATTAGAAAGAGGATGGAAGATGCCAAGAAAAGTAATACAGTTAAAAGATGGTTTGGTTTTACAATTCCTGTCACTAAATCCATTTCCATTAGAGGCTCTTTCAGTATTTTTCCAAAATATGGACTGCATGTAAACAGAGAATGCTGAATAGCAACCTACCTGCTCAGTTGTCATCATGTGAGAACTCCATCACAAACTTAAAAATTTGAGGAAAGAAAAGTCACTTCTGTGAGATCTGTTAACTTTAACTAAACACTTGATCTCAATTTTTACCTGCAGTCATCACTGTGGTAGTTTAATCACTGCTCCAAAAAACTTACAGACAGGATAAACAAACAGAGCTGATTGTTTAAACAAAACAAGAGGAGCAAGAAAAGGGAGAAAGATAAGCTTTAGGTCTAGGTGAAAAGGTGTTCTTTTTCCAGTTATACATAGATACATAGAGAATTGCTTTTCTAATTAATATATTAAGCTTTTATTCTGGAAATGCATATACACAAAATGTAACAATGGTCTTTACGGTGAATCCCTGCCTCTGTATGAGTATTGCAAACACTGATGCTCTAAAGCCTCAAAATGCCTGTTTATAGATTACTCACATTCAGATTTCAACTTTCTAGGATCCCCTTACATATTAAAAATTATTTTCCAAATATTTCACATGAACAATTATTAGCCATTAACTCATTCCCATACAAGCATCCCTGTTAGAGAAACACAGAAGGGACATTGAAATTTGGAAATTGGGATGGCACTTCGCAGAAAAGTTACGAAGTTCCTTGCTGAAAGAAGATGAAAATACAGGTGCAGATCTCATTAGAGGCCAAATCAAAACAATTTCTGTGAAGACAGTTCTGTGAAAGTTGGTGTTTGTTTACTTTGCAGAGGCAAAAGACAGGAAATTCATTATAAGAAAAACACCACTGTTAAAATGCAGTGACAGCATATAGAAAATCAAACCAAAATGAGTTGCTACCACTATCTTTTTTTGTCCTACTCTGACTTCAGTCAAGGAAACTCCCACTGAGTTCAGCCCACCCAGGCCTAGGGGCAGGATAACTGGCCAAGTGAGTACCCTAGCAGCACTCTGTGCTTTCAGATGAAGGCCTGGGGCCTTGCAAGCCCAGGCTTCCACCAGGCTTCTTTCCAACTAGGTTCCGTGCTGGCTTCAAGCGAGCTCTGCGCTGGTGCCCCTTCATTGAGGTGTCCAGCTATGAGGAGCTGGAGCTGAAGGCAGCCAGGTTCCACCCCACGCGGCAGAGCAGCCTCTACGCTGTGTCCAGGATGGACTCCAGCATGACCGTGGTGTTGGACACCAACGATGGAGACAGCGTGCACACCAGCCATAAGAAAAGACCAGCTCCAAGGGACCTGAACTTCAATGGTTGCTCACAGAGGAATTCCAAGACTGTCTCCACGGCCTCAAGCCTCATCAGTTCAGTGCACACATCAGTAGATGTTTATTCCTAAACATTTCACTTTGCTAGAAGGGCAACACTGGACAATGTTCTCCTACTTTGGAACTCAGTATCCATACCACAGGAAAGCAAACCAGATTCCACTAATAAACCCTAGCTATAAATATTGTGAGATTTTTGGGAAATCTCTTCTTTTTTTTTTGCTTTGGAGAGGAAGAGGAATTTGAAGACATATGTATGTCTCGCTCCAAAAGCATAGTTGCACCTTAGCCACAACAATGTTCATAGGGATTATCCAGAATAAACCAATGGCATTAAAAACTTTGCTTCAGTTGTTTCTGACCAGTGGCATTTATGTTTGACTTACCAAAATGTAACAGGCTCCTTTACTTATTGAAGCAGAAATGTACTGTGTTTTCCATTACAAGTGTATTAATTCAACAGTAACAAAATTACGTGATATTTGATTATAAAGATGTATTTATAATGAAAACCTAATGAGCCCCAAGTCCATTAAGCTGTTTCACAATTTAGCTCCATTCCCAGACAAACAGATAAAATTAAGTTCACGTGAGTGCAGTTCAGCTCTGTCTGCAACAGTAATTTTGCAAATATATATATAAGAACCGGAGAACATGACTAAGAGACTAAGTTAATTCTACCAAAGTTTGCATATTAGTGAACATTAGATTCTAATGGGATTGTATTTCCAGGGGAATATATTGCTTTGAGGAATCTCTCATAGCTTTGTATCTTAGTTCTAGGGGTAAGGTCTGTCTCAGTGACCTTAACAGAACCTTTCTGATTGACTTTAGAAAGGCCAAAAGATTTTAAAATGAAGATTCATATATGAAAAAAATAACACTGTGGCAACAGACTCTTTTCTGCAGAAGATAAAGTAACAAGACTCATGATGACAAACTTCCACTGGAAAAAAAACCCTATTTGGGCTCTTTTCACAAATTTTCCATAGCTTGATGCATGTAAAAATACTCCTGTGCCTGCCTCTGAAAAAATTCTAGGCATTCTTACACAGACATGTTCCCACTGAATTCAGACAAAATCCACTTACCATCACTGTTGCAGAGGAAGCTGAATGTAACAAAAAAAGGGACCAGAGAGCAGCCTTCGTTTTAGTTTAATGACTGTGTCAGTTGCATGGATAAATTGGTTTCATGAATGTTTGTTGTCAAACAGTTAATGAAAATACAAAGAAGAGTGTGAATGTCTTCCTGAGTTAGCCAAACCAGCACAGGACAGTGTGTATCTGGCTGAACCCAACACAGTACCAAAGCTGAGCAATTAATAAAGAGACATTTGAAGAGAGAAAGGCTTGAGCTGGCTTTAGTCCACATTCCTTCCCAGCAACTGGGGATGATCAGCATTGTGACAGTGAGCATATCAAACAAGATCAGTAAACAAGAATCATATTTGTGTATTGTGATTCATGTACATAGTCAATTGTTACGTTCTGCTAAGCGTTAACTTGTACTTGTATAGTGATTGCAGTGCACTGTGGTATCACTAAATCAAAATCCTAAGGTAAAATATCCTCAAATACATAAACCTGATACATTAAATTCTCCATGCACAGAATAACTGAAGAATATGATCACAGAATTTTGTACTCTTACAAAAATGAATCACAATTCCAGACTCACTTTTTCTATCTATGGCCTGATATAAAATCCACTGAAACAATCCATTCATTAATGACTTCCCTTTTAAATGTTGGTCCACGCTTTTCAACAGTCTATTTCTCTAAAAAAACCAGGTATTTTCCAACATTGTAATTGTCATGCTCTCACTTCTCCTTGTCTTTTTTCGTGTGTAGCAATCCAGCAAGTGTCATGCAATGCCTATAAAATACTTGTGAATTTTTTCCCTTTAAATACTCTGTTTTAAGAACTTTAAATCTTCCCAGGTTTTTAACAACTCTTTAAAAAAGATCCAGGATAGTCACACACAAACAAAAAATTATGCTAAGTATATTAACCTAATGGTGATGTACTACAAACACATGCTGTGAAGTTCTCTGTCTGCTCATGTACAACTTCTGAGAAACATACATAGAGAAAATGTATACTTGTTAAATAAACAGTCTTTTCTAATAATGGCTATTACAAGAGCAGTGTTGATAAATTTGTTGGTTTTAAATGTAGAGTATAAATTTTAAAAAGTTGTATATAAAAGTACAGCAGCATACATGTATAAAATATCATCTTCATGCAACATTTAGGATTTTTCATTGACAAATATCAAGAAAGCAATGGTGGCCTCCTCACACTTGTACCTCTAGTGAAACAATTTCACTTTAAGTGTTTATGCTATGACCTCCTGGACAACTAATCCATTGATAACATCACTATATTTTCGTGGGCTAGAGGTATCAAAACACCATCACCATTCCTGTAGTTCTTCTGAAGTTACAGAATATTCCTGTATAATAAATTAAGAAATCTCTCCCTGTAATCACAGCATTGCTTTAACAAAACATTACAGTGATAATGTGGTGCAAATCAATCTGTGTCTCAGCCCCAAGAACATGCAGGGTTACACAGTTAAACAAGTAGCACAGCAAAAGCTGTGACTGACAGCAGCTTCCATACGAATTACTATTTCTGAACAAGCATTTTCAGCAAGTGGCCTGGTCACTATAAAATTCCTTACAGGCCTCCTGACACCCCTCACTGAGTGCAGAGGAAATCAGATCATCCTTTGTGTCAATAAGACTGCTCAAAGTAGTAGTGGGCATACAGAGCACACACATGATTGCTGGTGCAGCACTGTGGCTGTCTCACGTCTGCCACCTTCAACCCACACTCTTCAGTTTTGCTAGGAGTGAGTTAAGGAAAACAGACCAATACAGAGCTAGGTTCTTACCAAGAAGGGCACAATAACACTCCAAAACAGCTACAATTAAACAGCATCAGGAAAGGTCTTCTGATCCTGAAATCTTCTGAAACACATTCGTCCTTCTCAGTATAACAGCTCCTACTGGAGTCTGCCTCAAACATTTATGTGATGAAGAGATCATTGCTCCCTGAACAGCCACTTTGCAAGGACATTCCCTTGGTAGAGAACAGGTTTAACTTTCACATCACCAAAGACAAAATAATCAGCATCAGTTTACTCTGTCATTCCCTTGCCATTGGGTAAACTTTGAAAAAAAAAAAAACAAAAAACAAACAAAAAAAAAAAAAAAAAACACCAAACCCAAAAAAAACCCCCAAAAAACCAAACCACGCAACCAAACCAACTTAAAAAGCTAAACATGACTATTTAAACAATAAAAAAATCCCCCTCATTTCTTGTCTCAAGTCTTCGTGGTGGTGCATTTTCCCCCCCACACTCTTTCTTGAACCACTCTACAACCTCAGGAATCCCCACTGGGCACTGGCCTTTGTGTGATGAGTTGGGTGGCCAAGCTTCCCTTCATCATATGGCAACTCTTGAGTGGTTGAGCTGGGAACATCCCCAAGATGAAGGACAAGAGCACAGTCAGTCCCCCACTTACAGCCTTGGGACTTTCCCTGAACCATAACCCAAGGGGAATAACACCATTGTGGCTGGAGTTTTGAAAACAACTTGAAATTGTATTGGAAACAATTTGGAATTGTTTTGGAAACTCCAGTTGTGACTGATCTGAGGATGGAACTCTTACAGATTACATCTCACTACCCTATAAATAGAGGTCCTAAGTGAGGCCCTTTGAGCTTCCCTGGACTTCAGTGGAATGTACCAGAATCTCCCTTTGAGTGGGGGATGGCTCTCAGAGCTTGCAAACTCTGATGTTTGTGAGAAAGCTGAAGACAGGGCATAGGCAGATAAAGTCTCACTCCTTGAGCCTCAACCGCTGAGAAAAGCCAAAGCACTCGACAGGGTATTTGACTGAAATCAGGGGGAATTTTTCACAGGTACTTCTGTACACACTTCATTGTGGCTGTGTGCATGCATGTGTGTGAATTGATTTAAATACCCTGTAGCAAGTATAGCATAAACACTGACACCTCAGAAGGATAATTAAGTCACTACTGCAACTTTAGTCAATTTTATTGAATTACTTCATAAATGCTGAATTAGTTAATTGATTACGTACTACTTAAATCCTTTAAGCATGAAACATTTATCAGGTGTAAGGTTAAGTATTTCAATGGCATCCACTCTGAACCTTGTGACTCTATGGGAAGGTCTTCCTTCCCTTTGCACCCTAATCACTTGTATCCCTGGTCTCCATGCAAATCATTCTAGTGATTTTAAGCCAATAATCCTTTGTATGCTTCATTTTCATAGTAAATAATAGAGTGAACATTGCCATTGAACTTGGCTGCACTTTCACGCATTTATATTAAAACTTACTTTTCTCAATACCTGTGACAGGGATTCTTTAAACTACCTAAACCACTCAATTGTGACAAATTGGCATAGTCAGCAGAATACTAAATCAGGATTTGCAGCAGTCTTCCACATAAAAGCATGATCTTGAGAGGAAAAATGATCTCCAAGCAAGCTCAGAGTACTCGGACAGGATGCTTCCAGCAGATTGGGTTAGGATTATCTCTTTGGCAGGAATCCCTTGACAGCCTTCCTTCTAGGTCACTTACAGCACATTGTCAAGGTTGGGAGGCACTGGCAGACCTGCACAGAGTGAGCTATTTGCAGCTGCTTTACATCTGGTAACTAAAGGTGTCACTGAGGAAGGTCTCTGATCAATACCAACATGTATTTTCAAAAGTAACATACAGAAGGAACTGATAAAAAAAGGAGAACAAAACAGGTTTTAGAAGTTGGTGCTTTCTTATCTAAATAAATCCATTCAGGTATTTTGGAGGCGGATGTTCCTCCTTCAATACTGGGGAATTTTTTTCACATCAGTGAAGAAGAACCTATTTTACTGATATAAATTTCCAAACATTTCAGGCTGTGCCCACCAGGGTACAGGATTCAGAGAAACTCTTTTTCTTTTTCAGGAACTCTGTTCCTTTTGCATTTATGTCAAGGCTTTTGAACTGCCTATTCCAAGTGGAAATTTACTGCTGAACTTCTTCCTCTAATTCAAGATGAGTTTAAATTTAGTGTCCTAAATACTATGAGCTGTTTGTTAAAGAATA